TCCACCAAGTTTATGTTAACTTCACATTCACCTGAAGAAGTGCACTGTGTGCACGAAAGCTTGTGTACTGTCATAAATAAACTAGTCATAAAAGTACCGTACTGAATATCCTGAGTTTTATTTTCTATTATATATTAGACTAGTACGGCTTATCAATTTTTTAAAATTAAAGTCATTACAAAATACTTCAGAAGTCGAGAAATCTCATTGTCCACCATTTAGAAATCAATATTTTCCCGGGAAGAACTCGAACCTCCCTTTCTCTGGGTTCATAGATTCATTATAATAATTTTCAAGAGGGGAACACCTTGAATTTTTAAAGAACTTGAAAGTAATTAAGTTCTTCAAAATTCAAGGTTTGCCACTCTTGAAAACGGTCAGATAATTTTTTTTCCCATTGTTAATACAGTAAATAGGCCTTATGTGTGTATACATACATAAAAAAAAGATTGAGTAAGTTGCATACGTAGTTTTTCCATGAATCGATAAATCCCAAAAAGAAAGGGTGGGTGGGGGGAGGTCCTGTGGTTCTTCCCCGGGAAAATTTTGATTCCTAGGTGGCGGGAAATGAGCTTTCCCGACTTCTGTGGTGTCTTTTAATGACTTTTAAATTTTTCAAAATTCAAGGTCCCCCACCCCTTGAAAAAGTTTCAATTAATCAATGAACGCCAAAGATAAAGGGGGTCCGGGTTCCCCCGGAAAAATTTTGATTTCTAGATCAGGGAGATGAGCTTTCCTGACTTCTGAAATGTCTTTTAATGACTTTTAAAGTTCTTCAAAATTCAAGGTTTTCCCCTCTTGAAAAAGGTCAGGTAAATTTTTCTCATTTTTTATTTTATGTGTGTATACATACATAAACAAATGAGTAGTTGCATGCGTATTCTTTTTTCCATGAATCGATAAATCCCCAAAAGAAAGGGTGGTCCGGGGGTTCTCCCCGGGAAAATTCTGATTCCTAGATGGCGGGAATTGAGCTTTCCCGACAGTTGAAGTGTGTTTTAATGAATTTTATGTTCTTCAAAATTCTAATTTTCTAATAGCAACAAAAAAAAAGAAAAAAAAAAAAAATCAGCTCACGGGTTCTGAAAAGGTAGGTCTAGAATTCTTTTCTTTTTCCCCTTTTTTGTTGCCCAAGGGAGGGGTCAGGACTCATGACCCCCTCTCTCCCAGATCCGCCAATGTGAATTTCGAGAAAATGTAACTCGGTCGGGTACTGGATAAACATTCTCTTTCCTATCCTTCTCCTCTTTCTTCCCTCCTTCTTCTTTTGCATTTCCGATCATACAAAAATCAAAAATCTCCGGACATTATATATTTTTCGCCAAAAAGTGGGGGGGGGGGCGGGCCCCCGGCCGGCCATGTATTGCTGCACGTTAATATACAAACGAAAAAGCTGATTTAAATTTGTGAATTCATTCCAGAAGAGGAACAAATAATATTTACTAACGATTGCTTTAATGATATTCATTTTGTACTTAGGCCAAACTTGCGATTCTGTCTAACCTACTCAACTCCCCGAATTGTTCGTCAGTCTAGCCCGATTAGGACATATCGTACCAACAATACAGACACTACAGTCTAGTTTTGTTTTAAAATAATACTTATTATAAGTTAATTTATTTTAGCGTATGTAAGTGTAGTATAAAATTATAGTGTCCTGGGTACGACGTTATAAACTGCATCCGGTCGAGTCATCGGCGACTAATTCCGGAAACCCCATATGGTGGTCTTTAGCGGCCGCCGATGGGAGGGTGGATGGACACCCAGCAGCATGAAAAAAAAAACCAGCTGAACAAAGGGCGGATGAACTCCTCGGAGCCAACGGCCAACCATGCCTTAGTTTAAGGAGTAGGTTTTTAGTTTCATAAAATAACATCAACTTTGTTCAAAATGTCAAACTCAAAGAGCTCAATCACCAAGCGCACAGAGGTGACTTTTTCGCATGATGCGCTATACAAATCCAACTATTATTATTAATATTATTAATAAAAATGTGATAAATCTAATAGATTCCTATTTATATTTACAGGAATGAATATGAAATACATGGTTAATTAACTTTAAAAGAAAAATGTTTATTTTATTTCAGGAGCAAAGGGCGATATGGGGGTCGAAGGTGTACCAGGTAAGATGATGAAACTGTGGATACATATATGTAATTAAAACCCATTTTTTATGAGATACAATGGTAGATGCATTATGACCTACCACCAAAATATTCCACGAGCAATTAAAAGTAGTAGCTTTATTTTGAATTTTACCATAAATCAATCGTTTGTTTCATCTATTGCATTACTTCTTTATGCCTTTAAAGATTTATTTTGTTTGTTTTACGTAATCATGATTTTAACTTACCTTGTAATCCAGCAAATTTGCTGTGTTTTTTTAAATACAATAGAAATATATTATTGGTCCTAAGCGAAATAAAAAAACATTTTATAATCTCACTTTCATTTATTTTGTGTTCAGGGCAGAAGGGTGAAGCGGGTCTACCTGGGCTCGATGGTTTAAAAGGTAAGACTTTACTATTTGATTAAATGAGGATAGTTTTATTAACTCCTAAAAATAGAATTTAATATTATTTAGAGATTTTTCAAGTTGTAACAATGTCAGTGATTTTAGAAAAAATATTAAAATTATTCGTAGTTAAAAGATGATGCCGTACGCACTCTTGCTTGTTCTTTAAAGGTGCCAAGGGAGAAGTTGGACCACCTGGAGAAAATGGTGATTCAGGTATGTAACTAGCTGAGACTTAGTACAGGAAGAAAGCAAAATTAACGAATACACTTTTTTTTATAAGACCACATTTTATAAGAACACTGAAGCTGAAATTGCTTAAAAATTAAGAACAAAATAAGAACAAATTAAGGCTGAGGTAAAATGTCAAATGATATTTGTATTTCAAAAGACTAAACAAATCCCCAAAAAATCATATCTGTACCTTATGAAGGTGTGACATGTAATACCCTCTATAATACAGTACAGTAGGTGTACCTACCTGTCGTTTGGTGTCATTTTTACCAGGGCCTTTTTCTGGGGCCTTTATTTCAGGGACCATTTTACCTACATTCCAGTACAGTGTA